ACTTCAACAACTTTAATAAGAAAATTTGTTATAGTGAAGGAAGCCTCGGCAATCCAAAAGTAAAAACAGGTTTGGCCTTTGAGGTCATATCTTTAACTTCACCACCACCTGAGATGCTAGGGACCAATTCAATATTCAACCACAGATATTTACCAGCAGCATTCAACAAAAAGTGCAATACATATTACTGAAACATAGCAAATGAATTTCAACAACATTTTGAGTGCATTGAACCAAACAACAAAGTGAGCTTCATTTTTTAACAAAGTTAACATGCAAAAAAGTGCACCAAGTCAAAATGAGCTAAAACAATGCACTGAAGGCAACAAACAAAACCATGCAGTAAACCAAACATAATGAGCTAAGTATAGTGATAACCAAGGAAAAAAATGCGAAAAAGCCAAATAAGCTGTGGATGTAACAATGACCAACGAAAGTGCGGTAAAGCTAGCAAAAGAACATGGTGAATTTTAGACCAGGTTTCTATCTGGAAGTTATTAAAATATGCTCCACGAGAAATTTGGAAAATTAATACTTATACAACTGAACCCATCTCAATTGATAGGCCACTAGCTATTCATGAGACCAGAGAAAGAGAGTAAAGGGGGAGGAGTACTCAGAGCATATATGAATTAGTTAGTTGGGGAGCCCACTTGTAACTAGATGATTTAGTAGAGTAAGGAAGCCGTGAGTAGAGAATATAAGTAGATGTGAGATCTAAGAACTAAGAAGGATGGTTTTGTTGGTAGAGAGATACGAGTGTGAGAGTGGGGAGACTCATCTTCCCCAAGATTTTTACTCTCTATCATGAGTAAGAACAAAGAAGCACTAGCAACAACAAAACATAAACTGAGAAGAAATTATGGTTTAGAACAGCACTCTGCAAAAAAACAACCATTCTAAAGTAGCAGTTGCAATCATTCCACAAAGGAATCACAATATATCATACATCTCCTTTTGTATGTTGATAATATGCTAATAGCAATTAAAGAATTAGAAGTTCTCAAAAAAGTCGAAGCAAAACTATAAAATGAGTTTGATATAAATGATCTTGGAAATGCAAAGAAACTACTTGATATAGGAATTGTGAGATAGAAAGGCAAGAAAACAATATTGAAGTTCAAAGGGTGCATTGAGAAAGTCCTTTCTAAGTTCAACAAGCAAACTCCTAAGTGAGTCAGTACTCCATTAATAGCACATTTTAGACTTTCATCTACTTAATTTCTACTGAGACGAGTTCCTTATTCAAATACAGTTAAGTCTCTCATGCAGGTTGTGGTTTGTATCTATTTGACCTATATCTTATGCAATTAGTGCAATTGCATATATATGACTAATCCTGTCAAGAAAGATGACAAAAGAAATTCCTGGATTTCCATATGATTGGGGGTGCTACTAGTGTTCATCCACATTTTGGGAGAGCTAAAGATGGGATTATTGGTTAGGTAGCTTCTAATTATACTAGCAAGCAAACTAAAAGAAGATTTCTTATCAGGTATGTTTTTTCTATTAAGGATAGTGCTATCAGCTCTACAACTATAGTTGTATAGTCTACAACTAAGACTATTACAATGGCTTGTAAAGAAGATATTTGGTTAAAGAAACTATTTGGAGAACTCAATGAAGACTTGCAAATTACTACAACTTTTAGTGACCATTAAGGTACCATCTTTCTTACAAAGGATCAGTTGTATTATGAAAGGACAAAGTACATTGATGTGCAATATCATTTTGTGCTTGAAGTTATCACTTGTGGTAATATTGTTGGGAGCAAAATTAGTATCAATGAGTAAGAACTCTTCTAATATGATGACTAAACCCCATTTCATTGAACAATTTAAGCATTTCTTGGATTTGATTGATCTTTATTGTTTCTAAACCACTTTGAAATTTGGAGGAGACTATTGAAGCTACTTCAAAAATTTTGGAGGAAAAAAATAATAAATAAGAAAAGGTGGAGAATGCCAACGTTGTTTTCACACTTTGATCACGTGACATTGCCTCACTTTGTTAGAGGTAGGTTTTTTTTTCTCTCTTTTTTTCACTTTTCCCACATCGACAATGCACCAATTTGTTGTGGCTGTATAAGTGTTATCCATATGCCCCCTCAGCTCAAAATTTACTAGAAGAATTTTTTTTTTCCTCTTTGTTATCTTCAACGAGTTTCAAAATCTTCTGAAACTAACTTTTGGTTAATATAATGTTTGGATATATTGAGTATTGGTGAGTGTTAGTGTGGACCCTTGCAACCCTGTTTTAGATATCAGTGTAAAGCTTCTCTCATCTTAACTCATGGATGTAGGCTTATTACCCGAGCCATGTAAATTCTGTGTTCTCTCTTTATGATTTTTCTAATAAAATATTGTGATACAACAGCTCATAAAATAGAATAACTCACATCACAACATCTTCCAAGCTAAGATCTAACAACATGGTAAGCCATTACATGCCAAAAATATCAAGACATGCTGGGACTTCAGCAATAGTCTAACCATTACATCAAGAACACCAGTTTCCTTATAAAGTATGCAAGTCACAGAAACATGATTTGAAAAGAACGTGAGAAGTTTAAACCAAGAGTTTCACTATCAAAATAATTGGGCAAATAGCTGCTGCCATGCCTCAGGTTTAGCTCCCTCTTCTCTGAACAGAAGTAAAAGGGCTCTCTCAGCCATCTCCAAGCCAACTGTCGTACCACCAAATCAAATCCTCAGTAATTTTATGATTTTTTGATTGATGAAGCTAGAAGAGGGCTCTCTCTTTATGATTTTTAAAACTGTCATAGCTTAGTTCAAGATTATCTATCTGTTGCATTTGCAGACACTCTGTTTTATAAAAACTCTCTTATTCCTCTCTAACCAAATACACCACAATAAAGTCAAGAACTCAACCTGTTGAAGAATCCCTTGTCTCAAAAGGGAGGGTGAACAATGACTTCCTCCATCATCAGTCAACAACTTTGGATAGCAGCCAAAGCAGCCACCTCGAATTAAACTACTCTAGAATTGTTTTGAAATTGGGAAATGAGAATTTTTTTAAAAGGTTTTCAGACTTTCTAGTTTCTAGGATCAGACAGAGAGTTCTCACCAGTACCCGAGATTCTTGAATGCAAAGTCTGAGAATTCTTCAAACAACTAGAGTGGTATTCGTCTTATTAACAATCTTTTCATTGGAGTTAAATTGAAAGAGCAGGAATTAAATCGACTGAATATATGCTCAAGTTGTTAAGACCACGCGAAGAGGGAAAGAACAATGCATACATGTCTAGATATTCTATTTTTCAATCTTAAGAAGCAGAAAACAACCCCATCACTCTTTATAAGTTAAACACACCATCTCCTTACACCGAGGCCAATCCTTTTATTTCTACGTTAATCTCTTGAATGGAGATTTTATATCCGCAACATTTGAAACATATTGTATCTCTATCAGTAGGGCGCCAAAATGCTGCCAAGTTCAGTGGCATAGCAAGTACTTACAGGCGTATAGTTCAAGGGCAGTAACAGCAACCAGAGAAGAGATAATGGCGGAGATGTAAACTTTCTTCTGGAAAATTCTGAACGAATAATCATAGTTGAGTGTCGTCCTCATGTGGAAACTGAAATTGAACGCAACCCCATCACTCAAATCTCCAGCCTCCATCGCTGAACCCCCATCATCTTGGTTTCCAGCATCCAAAATCTGTTGGCAGATATCGCTCTGTTCCTTGCAAATCATGTCCATCTGGTTCTGGGTCCGGTACAACATGGTGACAGCCTCCAGAAAAAGCAAAAAGTACACGAAGCTACACACAAGACTCAACCCCAAAACCACCCGCCAATCAATACATTTGAGGGGCGACGAAGTCTGGGAGAGAGCAAAGAAGAAGAAACGCTCCCAGATGAGGTAGCCCATAGTTATGTTCTGGGCTCTACTCTCATAAAAACGCAGTATTGGTTCTTGCTTCTCAGCAAGAAGCTTCAACTCCTCAAAATCCCTCTTCAGTACTCTGAGCTTCATGGATGTGGAAATTGGAACTGTCAACGGATTCGGGTATTCGAGCCGTGATCGGCAAAAAGGGAACAAACAGTGTGGCTAAGAGAGAAAGATAGGAAAGATTTGTAGGGCATAACTGAATTTCCATGGCTTTATATAGACGAAGAAATTAACAGAACAGACCGCGAACAATTTCCGTGGGTTTAAACGAAGTAAAGGAAAGAGTTGGGAAATTTCCTTAGGGATTCAACATCCATGGTTGAGCTATTGACTTTGTACAACAAAAGCTCGGCGCAAAGGATTGTAATGGGTTTCTTGACGTCGACAATGGTGGTTGCATCAGCGGAGGGCCATGGGGCCACAATCCGCCCGCCATGGTTAACCAATCAAACCCCAATGGCTATTCCAATACGCGAACGACACCTGTGAATGGAAAGAATCTTATTCTCAATTTCGGCTTCGATTAATTTAACCATTTCTTCCATTTTCTCGATCGTAGTCGCCGTACGAACCCTAGCATTGCAAACAGTGGAAAAAAAATAAAGAAGAACAATAAACTGTTTTATTCGAATTACAAATTCGCAATATTTTTAAGTAATTTTACAATTCTCAGATTTACCATTATTAAAAATATTGAAAATTCTCAAAATAGCTTCTTTGTTAAAATTTATTAAAAGAAAAGGCTTAAAATACTATTTTCACTTTAAGTTCATTTTGATATTCACTCAAAAAAGTTTATTTTTGATCTTTTGTCTTTTTTTATTTTTAAAATGCTCATTTTTGCCTTTCGTATTTTCAATTCATTTTAGTATCTATGTTATCAAAATGTTCGTTTTAGTCCAATACCTTCAAAAAATTATCATTTTGATCGCTTAATTTTATTATATAATCTCATTTTTTTTACCACAACCTCGACATTACACTCAATATATTTTTTGAAATATAACCCTGAGTTTATATTAAACGGTTCTCGTCATGCATAGAATTTGTGTTAAATTTTTTAAAATAGAGATCGAAATAGTTACCTTATAAAATTACAATGACGAAAATAAATATTTTGAAAACATATAGACTAATATAAATTAATTTTAAAAATATATAGACCAAAATGAACTAAAGCTAAGAGTACGGAAACAAAGATAATATATCAACCAAATAATTTGATGTATTCTTAAAATTATTATTTTAAGATTATCAATCTAAATTTAACTCAATAACTTGATTCTTTTATTTGTTATTTATACTTTTGATTATATGAATTATGTTGGTACAACAAGTTGGAATAGGAAGATTCAAGCCCGTGGATTAGAAATAAGTATTAATCAGTGAAGTTCATGTTAATTTTAGAGATTAAGTTGTTGACAATTTTTAAAATATGATAAATCATAAAAGATAAAAAAGAAACGGAATTTTTATTTTTTAATCTAAAAAGAAAGGATGTTGATTTGATAACTGATAAGATAAGATGATATCTTACGGTTGGAAAAAAAAGATGATATTTTATTATTATTTTAATTGTCGGCCAAGGATAAAGTTTAAATTTCATTCCCCTGAATTCACGTCGTGTAGACTTTCTGGGCCTTATCCGTCAGCCTGTGGACCCCACCTCCAAGATTAAATTCGGACGTATTTGATTTGTTTTAGATTAAAAAAATAATTAAATATTATTACTGTTACTTCATTATGCTTCATGTCATTATATTTTTTTTTGTTTGGTATTTGGTAATAATTTAGTCCATCTAAAATTTTTTATAATTATTTAGTCATGAAATTATTATTTTATTAATATATTTTATATGTGATGATCATAAGATTTTATTTATCTCGGAGGGTTTAGATTTTGTTGATAGATAAGTTGAGTTTAATGTGTCAAATTGTATCAGACTAACATGTTCACACTTCACATATCTTTTTTTTTTTTAAAGTCAATAGAAAGGATCGAAAATTTCATCTCACAACTTCTTGATCGAAAATAAATACCTTAATTTTTAAGATAAACTCTGATTGACATGTTCACAGATCCTATAATAGGTTAACAAAGCAATAATTTAGTAATACATAAATTTTTTATTAGCAATTTTATTTTTATTTTTTGTTAAAAGACCTAAATCTAATACACTAAAAATAAAATTAAAAATATCAAAAGAGTACCAAAGATTAAATTAAGAAATACTCAGATAAATTAGGACCTATTTAGTATACTTAAACTTTATAGCTACTAGTCAATTTGAATTTAGTTTAATTGTTGAAGGCATATAACTCTGACGAAGAGGTTGTGTATTCGACCCTATATTATTATTGCACTATAAAAATTATAAGTTTTGTTTTGGTTGATTTTTTAAATCAAATTTGTTTTTTTAACTCTTAAACGTTCAAAATTATTTCATTAGTTCATAAACCATTCTCTATAGGTTGAAGGTTCGATCCACGTATTTACAAATTGTCGTACAAGAAAACATGGCTAGACAATTTTGACATTAATCTGATCATGAGTTTGAATCTCTTATTCTTAGTATTCGAAAAAAAATACGACCAGACAACTTTGAAAATGGAAGCTTTTTTAAATATGGAATTTAAAAATATAACAGAAGAAAAGGTTATTTGATTCTCCAAGAAAAGAAAAGGAAAAAATGCCACTTTTTGGGTAGATTTGGTAGGAAACAAACGGCACCGTTGCACTGGAATTTTATGACATTCAAAAGACAGGTGGAATTCAAATTGTTTGGTCCTTACGGCGCGTGGAAATATCATTACCTATTTTTATTTGGCTGTGGCCATCACATGCATCATCACACTTTTTTATTTTATCATAAAATACAATTTTTTTTTCTTTTGTTTTCTTTCTTGAAGTTTCAACTCGTATTTGATCTTCGAGTTTTAGAAACGTCAAGTTTGGTCGTTGAAATTTAAATTTAGTTGGATCAATTTCATCCTAGTTTGAATCTAGTATTTAATTGATCTGAATTAATCTAGACTTTGCTACTCGGAGTGTGGAAGAAATGAGGGAAATGGGAACGGAGGGAGGAAGAGCGATAAGAGAAAAATATCACGTCTTAGGCAAAAGAGAATAAATATAAAAAAATTTGAAAATTCATTTAAAAAATACACATCAGCAAAGTCTAGTCAAAATGTGATAGTCACACATCATCATCATTTTATTACGTCTACTAATCAATTAGAAATCAAATTCAAATTCCAATAACCCATTCAAATTTCATATATCAAACGTATCAACTCATGGATCAAATAGAGACCAATTGCAAATTTTAATGATCAACGGTATATTTTACCATTTATTTAAGAATTAACTACGCACGTTAACTAAATTCTTTTATATCCAAGTGGCATAATTCGAAGGTTAAGTTAAAAAGGTTCAAATCTCCGTCTTGAATTTGTGATATTATATTCTTTAAGGGAAAAAAAGAAAAAAACTCTTATAACTTATCTTGAATTATCAATGAAGTTGGAAGTTGATTTTTGTTTAGGTTTATAACCAAGTAATTAATTTGGTCCGACTGATGTTCTAATTGTCGAGGCTTAGATTTTATGAAACAAAATTTTGGAGAAATTTCACGAAAATTTCATAAATTAGTAGAAATTGTGTAAGTTTATAAACGAAACTTTGATCATCACTGTAAAAGCATTCACAAAATATAATAATTTCATGATATTAAAACTATATATCAGGTTAAATATGATGGAAAAAAAAAGTTAAATTCATGGACTAAAATCAACATTTAAACCTTATTATTATTGATCCAAATTATCGACTACGATGTGTCAACGTTATAATACGTCAGAAGTTATTGTTCACACCCAACTAAAGGGAAGATACTTCCCGATAGCTTGGTAAAGGATTGTCAAGCCAAGCTATCTCACATCTCAACCAACCTTCTTGAAGGACGATTCGAACTTCAAAAAAATATCGACAATCACAAACTACTTTTTTTTGTTTGTTTGTTTGATTGATCAATTTTTTTTCGATATTTCGGTAAGTCGTTGACATTTTCCTGATATTTTAAAATGTTGATATTTGGGGATAATATATATGTTGGACCCCTTGACACGTCGTCTAATATTTAAAATGTTGTCAGGAGGGAGATAAGACTTAACTTACACGTGCGTGCCTACATTAACAAAGCCGAGGAACCATTGTGATAAATAACACACAATATATATTATTTAAACTGAACCACACGGAAATAAAAAGAAGCAGAAATAGGAAAAACGAAACTTTTTTTTAAATGTTTCTCAAATTTTAAAAACGAGAAACAAGATTAGTTACCAAATATGTCTGTTTCTAAAAAAACATCCTCTTGATTGGAGATATATGTCAATTACCGCTAAGTTATATTCATAGCAGAGAGAATACATAACATTATGGTAATGATTTTAAGATTTAAGTTAGGCTCAAATTCCACTAAATCCGTATATTAAATATAAGTTTCCTCTACAATTTTAAATTACACAAAATTTACTAGTCTTACACAATGTTTTGATTTTCAAAAAGTAAAAGATAAAATATTATAAAAAAAAAGTATTGATAAACAATCCTACATTATAAAAATATAAAAATTATTATCAGACGGCCTAATTTTTAGACAATATAAATATATATATATGTTTTGTCGTCTATGTCGTCAGAATATTATCATATTACTTAACAAATTCAGTTGCTAGAAATTTTAATATTTTATTTGTTTATTTTTAATAATTTTATCATAGTATTGTCATATATCAATGCTTTTTAAAAATATATATATATTTAATTGGCATTTTAATAATATTATCATATAGTCTATTCTATTCCTACTTATATCTTTGTTTAGAAGATATACATTAAATAAATAAAAGGCGGGAGATGTCAGGTAGGTTTCTGGGGCACATATTATATAATAAAAAAATAAATTAAAAAAGTTGAACTTTGACCATTATCTACGAAAATAATAAATTGGTACCTTAGATTAAAAAAAGGATTAAAAAGATACAAGTCTAAAGAAATAAATAAATTAATAAAAAAAAAGTATGATTTCGTTGCGTCCAGGGAGAGTAATTACAGATGTGAAGAACATTGAAATGAAAGGTTATTTTAAAAAGAAATGAAAGAGTTTATAGCTCTTAATCAGAGATATAAGAGATATATATTAATTACTGTTGTTGACAACAATTGTATAATTATATTGTAACAACCCCACGTACGTACACGTAAGTTAGACAAAAATGTTTAATTGAGAGTAATAGTAGAATTGAAAATTTATGGTGGTTTGGTCAAATCTCACCAATTCTACTCAGAAATATCTCTTAAATATTTGATTAAAAACTCGAGGTTTCTTTCTATAGCTTTCTAATAACTGCAACAATTCTTTTTTCACAGGTAAGAACAAACACAACTCATTTTTTTCCATAATTTAAAATTAAACCTGTCACAATACTTTTTTCCATGGTGAAGAGTAACTTTTACAAAATTTATCCAAAAAAATAAATTTATAAATCTAGCTCTCAGAGTGAAACTAGCACCTTTTTACTAGACTAAAAAACTTTATTGTGCATTATATGTAACATATATTTTTATATCCTAAGTACATAACATTTGATAGAAGTTTTATATTGTTTTGAGAGTATTTTTTGAAGTTTTTAGCAAATTAAAAAAAATTAAACATGTGTTTTTGTCACCAATTTTTTCTTGTTTAAAATTTGACGAGGATGTAAACCACATATTTCATTTAACTTGGATTTTATAGAATATAATATAATTTTAATTTTAATAAAAGTAATGAAATAAATAATTTAAAAACTATCTTTAATTGGAATATATTTAAAATTTTAAAATTACTTAAAAATACAATAGGTCAAAATGAGCATTAACTATCCCACCTTTTAATACCGTAAAGATAATTTCCTCCAAACAAAACTAGTAAAATTCAAGCTTTCTCAAATCTCAACCATCTAAATTATGTTATTCAATAATTACAAAAATTACATTGTTTTCTCTCCTAATTATTCATGTTATTATATTAAAAAAATAATAATAACAACATCAGTTTGAAGAATAAGCTTACAGTACAAATAACCTCCTTTCATCAAAACCAGCATAGCTCAGCGGTAATTGACGTTTGAAACAAATGATTCCATACGAGGGCTAAAAAAGCACTTTTTACACTCCCAAAAGCCCATCCAAACTCACTACCTACTCAAAATCAAATTATATTTGACTACTGCCTATCAACCTATAGAGTCTCTAACATTATTTCCAATTCTATATCAGCTTTGGACAAAAATCTACAAAGAAGTTTCAAAAGAATACTTACATGCATCATCATTAGGATTGTGTATGGTTCGGTTTAGACCCGCGAACCGAGCCGATCAGTTCGAGAAATATGTTAATTAAACACATCACTGAAAAACAGAAGAACCATTGTTGCACTGAACTGAAGCTGGGATCCCTTTATAGCAATCCAAATTGAAGTTACTGCCAACTTGAAGAGAAGATACATTTTAACAGCAAATTCAAATGAACTACGTCCAAAAGGCTATCACAAATCTAAATAGACCACAGCCAAAAAGATGATGATTACCTATTGAAGGTCCTAAAAATAATAATGGTAATCAAATATCTACATACATGACCCAACAAAATTCTCAAAATAGTCTGTGAAATCATTAATTGGCCATGAGTTAATTCTCTTCCTATAAGATTATGCCTGTTGACTGGATCCCTTCTACAAGTCAGAGACACAAAACAAGTTAGTGCATGTTATGCAAGCCATAACTTTCACTTGTAGCTATCATTCAAAATATAAACTCATTACCATCCTCCATCTCTTCTTCAAGCTCAAGCTCTTCAGTGGTGACATTCTTTTGTGGGCTAAACCAATTTCGTAAACGCCTTTCGAGTTAAAGAGCTATGATATAAATCGAGCACCCGATCTCCTGTGCTAAAAGCTTATTTTAGGACATTAGTTGAAAGCGGAATCGCAAATATGTCCTTCGCCATTTTCGCTAGGACTTTGTACTTTGAAGAATTCATTCTCCACCAATCTAATATATCAAATCTATGTGATGTTAACTCGATGACGATCTCGAAACCCTCAAGGTAACGTCATGAAAGAATTTCAAAAGCATGAGCATTGTCCCAATCTTCACTGTGGGGAGGGCCCTTTTTCATCTCATTTTCAATAAATTCCAAGCAGAACTCTTCATCAGCCTCTAACATTTCTAAAGCCTTTTGGAATTTTAGAGCTTTGTTCAACATAGTGTATGTGGAATCCCATCTTGTAGGAACATCTAAACAAAGAGTATTTTTGCATGTTATGTTTTCATCCCTTCCCTTGCAAAAATTTTGAAAGTTTCTAATGCTTCATGTGATGATTTTAGATACTCAATAGCATTACGAATCTTCATAGTTGAATCATGAAGTTCCTTCAAAGCATCACATGCCATAAGATTAACAATGTGCGCAAACTCACCATGTAATAGAACCCCATTTGATTTCTTATTTTCTCCTCTAAGTATGTGAGATCTCCATTGTTGTAGCTTGCATTATCTACCGTCACGGTAAATACCATCTCAATCCCCAATTCTAATAGACATTTTTCAACCGTCTTCTCAATGGTATCTCCTTTACAATCAGGGATCAAACAAAAGTTTAGAATTCTCTTATGCAATTTCCAATCATCATCGATGAAGTGTGCAGTAAGAACCATATAATCCAAACTTTGCATTGACATCCAAGTCTCCATTGTTAAACAAACCCTTTGCTCTTTCTCCATCAACATTCTTTCCAACTTTCTCATCTCTTCCAAATAAAGTCGAAAACAATCCCTAAGCACGGTCTTTATCGAAGGTATAATAAGTTTAGGCTGTAACAGAAGGAAAAAATTTCGAAACGCTTCACACTCTGCTATTCGAAAAGGCAATTTGTCCATAATAATCATCCTATAAAGTGCATCCCTACACCTCCTCATGCTAAAGAAATTACCAAGCAAACTACAATTACTTCCTTTTAAGTTTTACCTCAGTTTCCTCCGATTGAATACCATACCTTTCACACTTGAATTGCTCCATATTTGTGGTGTTGTTCTTTTGTTCATTAGATTCATTATCAGAATCCCCACCATCAACTTCAGTCATACTTCGCTTCTTGATTCTTATTGGAGTTGCTGGATTTGGCTCCATGCTTGGCAAGCTAAATCTGTCACATTATAAAAAGAATCATCAATAACATATGGATTATAAGTGGTTAATCCACACTAATTCCTCTGCAAAATTTAAATCAAACTGCTAAATATTTATTCAAAGTTATAAGTTGATCAACAGGGAGAGTTAACCCACTTACAAAAATAGTTTTAACAATAGAAACAAAAGGTTGAATGATAAGTTTGGTCCTAGATTTTTTTGAGTTGTGTATTTAGTTCTACTTTCAAAAGCTTTATAATATCTACACTTTCAATAAAGGTACTTACCGGTCAATAAGTATCTCCTAGTGACTAACATTAAAACATCAACAACTAAGAGAGATGAAGCCGCAAAGGAAAGAGAGAGAATAGATTTTTCCCTTCTTCTTTTTTCTTTCTCTTTTAAATAAATAGTTTTCAATTTTTTTAAATGACCAATAAACGTCTAAATATTATTCTCTAATAAGTCCAAATATGAGATTCAACCCTCGGAGGCCAAGAAAAATGAAAATAAACAAAGCCAACAAAGAAACGAGCGTCATCTTTATTCTTTACAAGAATACCAGCACATGAAAACAAATAAACGAAGCAGAACCGATCGGTTCGGTTCGGTTTAGTCTGGTCGGATCCGTCGGTTCCATAATAGTAGCCATCGAGACATGGGGTTTTTCAGAACCATCACAGGGATTTTTTTGTTTCAGAACGAGATCACATTCACAAGTTCAATGAAACTGAAGATCGCTTTTTCAAATAAAAAAAAAATTACTTACGAGCTGACGAAAGCGCGAGAGAGATAGATTCACGCGGCGGCGCCGGCGAGGAAAGACGGATGTGCAGAGATCCGAGCGGCGAGAGAGAGAGATGCGGCGGCCGGCTTCGAAGTTGGAAGAGGGAAGAAGAAGATTGAGAAGCTGAAGAAATTAAAGATACAAACCCTAACGGGTAACGAGGCACTAAAAAACCGTAAAAGCAAAAATAGTTCTCTAAATCAATACTCGTCGGTTCGGTTCGGTCCAATCGGTTCTAAACGAACCGACGGGAAGATTGAACTCGATTATTTGGTTTGGCTCGTTTCTCACCACGTTTAAAAAGGAATTATAAATATACATTTTTTTTTTCCTTTTGGCTCAACAATTTTGAATGAGATTTGAATTTATGACATTCTACTGTTAATTCTACTGTTAATTGAGCTGTATTTCGATTGATTGGTTGATTATTTTAATAACTTATAAATTAACTTAACTTTAATAAAATGGCATAAACTTGAATGTATCTTGCTATTTACCTACTTAGACCTCTTTTAAGGTTTAAGATTCAATCTATCGCCCTTACATTAAAAACTAATAATGGTAACTAATTTTATGGAATATTCGTTGATTTATGTCATCTAAACATTAACTTAGATACTAATTAATTATTAATCACAGCAATTTAGAAATTTAAAATTTGCCACCATAGGTACCCCACCTCTATTGGGGTTTCCAAATTTTGAAACATGAAGGATGAAATGAAATTTTTGAAAAATTAGAATGCAAATTGAAAAACCCTTAATCTTTAATTATTTCTTGCCCATTTCTCTTCCATTTGTTCTTTTCATTAAATCTCCCATTCAATTTTGTTTTTTTGCCTTTAATTACTTTAAAACTCAACAAAAATCAAGTACACAGAACTTCAGCATACCAAGTCAGATTGTGAGAAGTATCTCCCAGTGTGATCCTTGAGGAACACATCAATTTCAGTAAAGCCAACAAGTCAAATTCATATTCGTAATTTATGATCCATTTGATAACGTTTCTCTTTCTCGTTTTTAATTTTTGAGATACATAAACATTTAGTAAAAGTGGACTATGAATGATCTACAAAAAACTATACACATGAACAAAGGCTCTCTAACATTACTTTGAATTCTATATCACAGCTTTGGACAGAAACCAGAAGTTTAGGAGAAAACTTATAAGATCATTAGGATTGTACACAGTTCGATTCCGACCCGCGAACTGAGCCTATCGGTTTGACAGATATGTCGACCAAACACATCACTGTGAAATGGAAAAACTGGTGTTTCATTGAACCGAATCTGATGGCATTAGGCTCTCTAATTACCGCAATCCTAATTGAAGTAATAGCCAAATTGAAGAGAACAAAAATCTAAAAAGGCAAATCCTAAAAACTATATCCAAAACCTGTGAACAAATCCACATAGACCATAGTCAAAGGATGATTACATGTTTAAGGTGCTTACAAATATACAAAAGGTCCTTGAAATCATCATGGTAACGTAGAACATATCCAAAATATATTGAACCACATGGATAATCAAAGTAAATTAAAAATATCTGCAAACATGACCCAACAAAATTCTCAAAAAAGTCGGTCAAATAATTAAGTGGCCATGAGATTGTCTTCCTCTATTCTTTCTCCTTCAGTCAGACCAAGAAGGAAAAGTGAAAAAAAAGGTTAAAATTGTAGCTTATAACACCAATCATTACGCTTAATAGTAGGAGACACAGAACAAAATGGTGTTACAAGAAACATAATTTTCACTTACTTGGACTTAGAAGTAGGACCATCCTCAAACTCCTCTTCATCCTCTTCATCCTCATCCTCCTCTTCAAGCCCAAGCGCATCATCTGTTTATTATCTTGTGAGCAAAGCCAATCTCGCAAACAAACGACAACCTCGACCAATTTTGGACTTAATTTGCTATGATATGAATCAAGCACCAGATCTCCTGTGCTAAAAGCTGACTTTGAGGCAGTAGTTGAGAGGGGAATTGTAAGTACGTCCTTTGCCATTTTTCCAAGGATTTTATACTTTGAAGATTTCCATTTCCACCAATCTAATATATCAAATGTTTCATCGCCAATTTCACAAGGTTCGGATCAATACTTATCCAGTTCTGATTTCTTATACCAACCATCTTGCGAAAATGGACAAAATAAGCCTTCTGTAAGGGTTTCTTAATCGTCATTCTCAAAACACAAGTTTTCTGGTCACGGCTGACATCATCAAATTTGACAAATTGTCTCCCATGCCCCTCCTTGCTTTTTTTTTCTCTACTTCATCTCTCTTCTCTCTCCTCCACTAATATTTTAGACTTCCCTCCTTATTTCCTCTCTCTACCTCCATCCCCCTCTTTTTCCAGATTTTTTTTCCTCCTCTGTTTTCTTATCATAATTTTTTCTTCTCATTCTCCCTAAAATTTTCTTGGAGTTTCTCTTTTCCATCTTCCCTTTTTCTCTATTTTTGACGATGGATGCATCAAAGCCGACGAAGAGGTCGTTCGCCGAAGAAAGAAGATCAGTGGAAGAGGAATGGGGGAGCCAGGTTGAGCGAGGGAGAGCGATGAATGAAAGATGAGAAAGCAAAATTGGGGGATTTGAAAAGCAAAATTGGGGGATTTGAAATTCAATTATAATTAAAACTATTGAGAGATTTAAGGAGATTGATGAGAGATTTCGGGAAACAATTTGAATTAATATTGAGATTCTGTTTTTCTCAAAATTAATTTGATTTGATAAACATTAATTCAAAATTAATTTTTAGATACCGTAAAAAAACAATCTCATTAAAAATATTATTTTTAGATTCCCTTGATCTCGCTCTCTCGCTCACCCTCGATCTCTCTCTCGCTCACCCTCGCTCTCTCTCTTTATCTCCTCCCCCATTCCTCTTCCACTGAGCTTCTTTCTTCGGCGAATGACTTCCTTCGTTGGCTTTGATGCAACCGTCTTCAACGAAATCACGGGAACCATGGAGGCTGCTGGTTTAAAAAAAAAACTCAAAGATTTAGGGATTTTTTTTTAAAGTAAATTGCTTTTTGTAGTCAGTAAAGAAGAAAGAGAATAATAGTAATTAAAAAAAAATACAGAAATATGGAAGAAGGAAAAGAGAAACTCCAAGAAAAGAAAATTTTGGAGAGAATGAGAAAAAAAACTTTGTTGAAGAGGAAAAGAGAATAATGAAAAACGATAAGAAAAAAAAATCTGGAAGAAGAGGGAGATGGAGGTAGGGAGAGGAAATCAGGAGGGAAGTGTAAAATATTAGTGGAGGGGTTGTCAGCAAATGTGTATAAAACTTGTGTTTTGAAAAGGATGATTAAAAAACTTAAAAATCCTCGTAGAATGCTTATTTTGTCCATTTTCCCAACCATCTTGCTCGATCAAGTATCTAGAAAACATAGAGGCATAATCTTCATCGCCCTTTCTCCCACGTCCTCCACCAATGGTTGATCCATAGATGTACAAGGAGTCTCACTTTCCACATTTGAAGTTTGATATTCGTTATATAAACTTCGTGTCGTATCCTCAATTTTCTTCACAATTTCATTTGACCTTTCCTCTCCATACAAAAATGAGAGGGTGAACAATACAAATCGGAGCTTCCATCGAGGGTCAAGTACAATGGAAACATATGAAAGAAAATTAGTCTTTTCACTATTCTCCCAAAATGTTTCATGCTTCACTTTTATATTCTTTGCAGTGTTAGCCAGGAGAGAATTATCGGATCTGGAGAACTCTTCAATCTTTTTTTTTTGATCAAGCAAATCTCATGAAAATATCTATGTGATGTTACACATGATGATGATCTCGAAACCCTCAAAGTAACACCATGAAAGAATTTCAAAAGCTTTAAGAAAGCGCGAGCGTTGTCCCAATCTTCACTACGGGGAGGGTCCATTTTTATATCATGATCAATAAATATCAAGTGGCAGAAATTCGCATCTTCAGCCTCTACCCTTTCAAAAGCCTTTTGGAATTTTACAGCTCTTTTCCAACATAGTGTATGTGGTATTCCATCTAGTAGGAACATCCAGATAAAGAGGATTCTTGCATGATATATTTTCATCCCTTGCCCAATGTTTGAAAATTTCTAGTAGTGAAGGTGATGATGATTTTACGTACTCAATAGCATTACGGATCTTGGCAATCGAACCATGAAACTCCTTCAAAGCATCACGAACCATAAGATTAACAATGCGTGCACAAGACTTTACATGCATGAAGTCACCATTTATTACAACCCCATTCTGATTTCTTATTTTCTCTACCAATTATGCAAGAGCTCTATCATTATAGCTTGCATTATCTACTGTCACAGTAAATACCTTCTCAATCCCCCACTCCAATAGACATGCTTCAATCAGTTTTCCACCAGTATCTCCTTCAATGGTATCTTCTTCATCATCAATGGTATCTTCTTCATGACCAGTAGTATCTTCTTCATGACTAGTGGTATCTCCTTCAATGTTATCTTCTTCATGATCAGGGATCAAAGAAAACTTTAGAATCCTTTTTTGCAATTTCCAATCATGAGTAATGAAGTGCATAGTAAGAACCATATAGTTCAACTTCTTGATCGATGTCCAAGTTTCCATCGATAAACAAACTCTTTGCTCATTTTCTACTAAAACTCTTTTCAATTTTTTCTTCTCTTCTGAGTAAAGCTGTAAACAATCTCTAACAATGCGTTTACGTGAAGGTATGATAAAATCAGGTTGTATTGAAAGGGAAAATGTTAGAAAGGCTTCGCACTCCACTATTCGAAAAGGATATTTGTGCATAATTATCATCCTGCAAAGAGCATCCCTACACCTTTTCATGCTAAAGAAGTCACCATACAAACTACAATTACTACCTTCTCCCTCTCCATCCTCGGACTAATTATCAAGTAATGACTTTTGTTTCGAGTCAAGTACTCTACTTGGATAGTTTTCACAGTTGAGTTCTATTTGCTTCATATCGGTGGTGTCGTTCTTTTGTTCATCGCATGCATACGCAATTTCATAATTAGATGTTGCAATTAGACAATCAGAATGCTCATTACAATGATCCGGGGGCCCAAAAGTCTTACTTCGCCTGTTGTTCTTTCTTATCGGACTTGATGGATTTGACTCACGTTTCTTTGTGATGTTAGGGTC